GAGCCCCCCCGAGCGAGACCGCGGCCACCGCTTCGCCCCCCGGCTCCCGCGCCGCGGATGGTGCGAACCTGTGCGGGGAGGACGGTGCGGGAGCGCGCCCTGCGCTGCGACTGTGAGTGCTGGAGCCTTGCTTGAGCCCTGCCCGCGCCCTTGCCTGTCCCCTGCCTTCACCCTGCCTGTCGCCTGGCTGTCCCGCACCCCTGCCTTGCCCGCATTCTCCGCCCGGTCTTGCCGGTCCCGCATCCCTTCGCTCTTGCCCCCCCAGCGCTCCTGCCCGGACTCTGCCCCCCGGACTTTCTCGTTCCCCTTCTCCCAGCTCTGCATCCCCCAGACTCCCGCTCCGGGTCCCTCTGCCTTCCCCGGGTGGGTCCGGTCTCCGGGAGGGACCGAGTGGGGGTCTCCGGGTGCGGGCGGTGGGCGCGGAGCTGCCGGGCGGGTTTGGGAAGTGAAGCTTTTCCAGGAAAGAGGAGATGGTCAGCTCATGGGCGGGTTTGGCGTCGCGGCGAACAGGGAGGGTTGGCGTTTGTAAAAGCTTTATGGTGAGGGGTAAAGTCCTCTGGAATTCCTGAATTTACCTGAGGCTTTGCCCAAACTCCAGCGGAAAGAGAGTTCCTGCCAGTGGGGTGCCTGTCTCGTGTGAGATACGTGCTGTGCTGGTGCTCGTGTTAGACAGGAGAGATTCATCTTTCCATCGTGTGGGAAGGGACACAGAGGGCCCGAACGAGGTGACTCAGCCGGGGCCGTGTCCCGTGTCCCATGTCCCGGGGTGCTGCTCTGTTTCCCTGGAAAGGTGTGACCCGTGTTAGTTGTTGCAAGGGGGGGAAACCGAGGAGGTTTGAGCAGACCCGTGCCAGGGATAACTCGGTAGCGTGTGCTGTGCTCTCTGCTGGCCCTGGGACTGCTCCTCTCCAGCTCGGTCCCTCCGTCTGGGGGAAACTTCTCTTTCAGGACAGAGCTGAAGTGCTGCACTTGGCCTTGAGGGACTTGAAAATTTGCTGGTCGGGGTCAGCTGAGCCTCTTGATTTTTTGGCAGAAGTTGTTAGTGCTGATGCCATTCACACAAAACCACCTGTAGGTGGGTGAGGATACCCCGAAGTGTCGGCGTGGAGGGCAAGTAGCTGGTGCTGGCGGTAATTTGGGAACGATCCGTGTCCCACCGGGAGCTCAGGGCTGGCTGGAGGAGGCGTCGTTGCTCATTTTTGGGTTCGTTTGGGGTGGGGTGGGGGTTATGCCGGGCACGTGCTGCAGCGCCAGCCTCACCGGGGCAATTAGCGCCTCGCTCAGCCAGTTCTGGTCCTTACGCTTGGCTTTCCTTAGATTACGAATCAATTAAATGTTTCTGCTGGTGATTTGCATGGCGCGGGGCGAGCGGGGCTCTCTCAGATGCCTCCTGGTGCCGTTCGGAGTGAAGGGCAATTGGGAGCGACAGTCGCACCATATGGCCCTGCTGCATCGCATTAAGGGTTTAGCCCTGACTGCTGTTAATTAAATGTAACCCAGCCGTCCCCACAACGTGACACGGGGACACGCCGGGGCCGGGGAACTCGCTGTGTGGGGCGTTGTTTGAATGAGGACGATGTAAATCTGTTTTCTGGGGTGCACCTTTGCTTTCCGCCTGCTGTTCCTGATTAACTCCCTCAAAACCTGGTAAGGGCCGGATTATCCCCCTGGGGGGGCGGCAGCTCAGCAGTGTCTGGTGCACTGGAGCAAACGTGTGAATGGCTGTGCTTAAAGAAATGGCGCGTTTAATAAAAATAACGCTTATTGGAAGGCAAACAAACTTTGTCGGGGCTTTTGTCTTTCCTGGAGACCTGCCCCAGGGGTGCAGGATGAGGTACTGCTTTGAAACCCTGACCTAAAGTACAAATTCACAGAATTTCGTGGTGTTGTGAAACACTGTAAATAGTCGTTTTGAGGGACTTCTCCTCTGGCAGGATGTTTTCCATAGTTATATTGAAACAGATCTTAAATAGTTCTATTTCCCTTTTCATTTCAGAGAATTATTCAGACTGTGGGAGTAGTTCTGCCTCAAAAAAAACTCCCTAAACAACCAGGATGGGGGAGAGGGACACTCATAACATCATCTGCATTCCCTGTCATCCCAATAGTGATTCCCATTAAAAATGCCTGAGAGCTGCAAACAGGGTGTGCTCTCCTCCCCTGGTGAATATTTCCTTTTCTTCTGCTGCAGAGTTGCTGCTTGTTTGCTTTTGACTTGCAGCCTGAGGATACTCGGGGTTTTGTTTGTACAGTTCTGGCCTATTTTTATTTCTGTCAGGTCTGGTTGTATTTAGTAAAACAGGAAAGCGGTGTTTATTTATTTATTGTCTTTTATTATTATTTATTGTTCAGGTTGGAGAATAAGAGGCTCAGGGGGGACCTTCTTGCTCTCTACAACTCCCTGTCAGGAGGGTGATGCAGATATCTGAGATATGGGAGCCTTTTCCCTGCTTTTAGTGGGAGTGTTTAAGTCTGTCCCACGTGTGACAGACATCCAGCATGCTGCTCCCACTGGCATCAACCTGAAGGGATGGGGAACTGGGAGCTCAGGAGTGACTGCCCCGAGCCATCCTGCTGGCATTCCTTAAAAATCCTTGTTTCCAGTCTTGGAGGGAATGCACTCGGGCAGGAGGAGTAGCTGTGCCATTTCATGCTGTGCCTTGAGTATCTCCTACCTGATGTCTGTGGCTTTGTGCTGCTGGCACCTTTCAAAGCCTGAGTCAGTATTAAAGTAAATAATCTCAGTGTGGCAGTGTAAATGTGTCTGTCCCACTGCCAGCTTTTCCTGGCAGAGGAGCAGCTGGGAGAAGGGGGCTGGATGGGCAGGTTGCAGAGGTGCATCTTTGCCAGGGGGGTTTTTGGTGTGTTCTGGTGGGGCGGGTGCAGTTGGATGTCGTGGTGACTAAGGCAGCTTCAAAGCCCTCAGTGTGTTTTATTGGGCTTTGGGACAGCAGAGAAACCAGGCTGGGCTTGGCACTGGAGCAGCTTCCTGATGGGAAGGGTGGACACTGGTGGGCAGTGATGGGTCAGGTTTGGGAGGTGGCTCTCAGTGTCTCTGATGATCAGGGTGTTACCAAAATAGGGCGTTATGGGCTGAAGTGCTTCTTTGCAAGAAATCCACTGCAGGTCTCGGTGCTTCCCTGTGGGAAGGCTGCCTGTGAGGCACTGCCTCGAGGGAAACCTTGGAGCACGTCCAGCACCTGATGTTCCCAGTGGCAAGTGCAGTTGCACCTGAAGCAGCTTTTGATCTGTAGGTCTTGCGACACGATCTGGTTCAGTGAAGCACCTCAGCGTCCAGCTGGGTTTATGCCTCTGGTCTGATGCCACCTTTATCTCCCAGAGCAGCTCCTCCTTCTGTGTTTAGGCTCTGGGCTGAATCAGTCCCTATTTCCTTAAGAAGGGAGTTGGTAAAACTCCATTTCTCCTTCTAATTTGTAGAGCAAACTGCAGTTCCAATGTTATTTGTTCCCAAGTATGTTTGCTTAAGATAACAAATTCTTTAAGGAGCCCAGCCTGGCTGGGACGAGGTTCTGCTCACACCACTGGAGCTCTGCAGGACACGGTGGTTTTTCATGTCTCTTCTTCCATCACATCCTCCCACACTCAGTCGTGTCTCTGGTCTTGCCACTGTAAATAATAATTGCTAACAGCACAGGACCCACAGTACTTTGCATTTCTGTTCCATTTAGCTGATCCAGACAGATTCCTGAGGCTTGTCCTGCTGCCAAGTGACTGGGGCAGGTGGGGATGGCGTTTGCCAGGTTGGGTGAGGGTGGGGTGGGGTGCTGGGGTGGCTCCCCCAGGCAGGGCGTTCGCTTCCCTGGGAGGAGATGGAGGTGTGGGATGGGATGGTGACCTGCCCAGAGCTGTGTGGCAGGATCCTGGGGCAGCTCAGGTCTTTTAGGGTCATGTTCCATGCTGCAATCCAGTCCAGTGCCTCAGGAAGGATTTATGGACGGACACACCGGCCGAGGCTCCAGCTCTTGCCTTGCAGGTTAGTTTTTGGGCTGTCTCTTTTCTCCCTCTGCTTCATCCCTGGCCCAATGTGTGTAGCTGAGTCTCCACGTGGGAAGGAGGGATCTGTGTAGCTGCAGAGGTGCTGTCTGGGTGAATAAGGAAGCCCCCTGTGATAACTCATTGCTTGTGCTGCTTGGTGTGATTTCTAGGATTAGTTAAATCCCATCTTTGTGAGTCCCTGTGCAAAAGCCAGAGTGTGTTGTGCAGGAAGCTGGAAACTGAACACTGGAAACTGGTCTGCTCGTGAGAGGAGTCCTGAGCAGAGAGGGGACAGTCGTGGTGTAGTGGGTACAAAGTAGCAGATTTCAAGTGTGTTGTTAAACTGATGTTCATGTCCCACCCCATGGTTTGACACATGATATTGTTGTAACTGATACATCACAGAAGGGTTTGGGTTGGAAAGGACCTTAAAGACCACCCAGTTCCACCCCCTGCCACGGGTAGGGACACCTTCCACTAGCCCAGGTTGCTCCAAGCCCTGTCCAACCTGGCCTTGGACACTGCCAGGGATGGGGCAGCCACAGCTTCTCTGGGCAACCTGTGCCAGGGCCTGCCCACCCTCCCAGGGAACAATTTCTTCCTAACATCTAATCTAAATCTCCCCTCTTTTAGTTTAAAACCACTCCCCTTGTCCTAGCACTGTCTGTCTGTGTAAAAGGTCACACTCCCTCCTTTTTATAACTCTGTGACTTCTCTCGTTGCTCTGAAAGGCTCTAGAAACCCTTGCTGTGCGCAGAATTTAAATCTGTTTAAAACTCTTATAAATACAGTTTCAGTCCTATAAATGTAGTTCATCTCAGTGTATTTCTTTAATTTAATCTCTGTTTAAACACTGGGGACTTTTTTTCCACCCCCTAAACTTTAAAAGACTGCAGGGAAAAGCAGCAAAGCAAAGGGAGGATGCCGGGAAGAGACCTCCCAGCACACGGCCGGGTCCTGTGCTTTCTCTCTCTAATCTCTCCCGTTGGGTTGTTTTATCTTATCAAGCAAAAAGCCCCAGAAATAGAAAGTTTTCCATGGCTTACGGGACGGGCCCAGAGATGCACAAGCTCTGAGCTGCGGCGCTGCCTCATTGCTCAGAAAAATAAATAAATAACCCCGTCGAGTGGCAGCAGGTTGGGAATGGGCAATGTCAGGGTTTTATCTCCGTGGGAGAAAAGGCCCCTCGTGGAAGCAGCACGCTCTGTGTGTGCCTGGAGAGCTCTGGATCTCCTCTCCCAAGGATGACAGACGGCAAAGCAGGAGCAGCCACTTGCTTTGGGCTCCTAACAAAGAGAATTCGCAAAATCTTCCGGCATTTCCCCAAGTCCAAGCCTTGGTCCGAGGGGCTGCGGCCGCCCAGGAGGCAGAGCAGGGAGGTCTTGCTGCTCAGAGGTAGGTGGTGGTGTGAGTTTGGGGGGGATTTGGCCGTGTGCAGGTTTTCTGCTGCTCTTTGGGGTGCTCTTAGGGTTTCCTGTGGCGCTGCAGAGCCGCAGGGATCCTGCCTGGCAGGCAGCGGGGCTGGCACAGGGCTGGCATGATCTCCTGCCACCACATCTGTGACACCAGGAGGCTTCAACCTCTGCTCTGGCTCCTTTTTCAGCCCTGCTCTGGCAGGAGCACAGAGTGCTGCTCCACTGTAAAGGAAAATTTGCCTTTTAGTAAAAAAAGGCTCCAGAGCATCCGCCAGCAGCTGCATTTGTGCTCCAGATGCTGCAGCAGTGCAGGGACATCACAGAAGGGTGCCTGTCACCCAGGGGGCCTTGGCTGCTCTGGGCAAACAGAAGAAACACCCCCTTGGGGCTTTGCCTGTGTTTGCCAACAAATGAACCCAAACCATCTGGTTGAGACCTAAACCCGACGAGACAAAGGGGGCTGCAGAGACGGGGCTGGGTCGGCGCTGGGGGGGTGTTGGGATGTGTCTTGCAGGAGAACTGAGCCCCTGCCCTGCATTACTCTGGGAGTGCTGATGGTTGTGGTGGTGCCACAGGTCCTGCCCTGTCCCCTCAGAGCAGGAGGAGCCGCCTGACCCCACTGTCTGGTGTCACAGGGCCACATCCTGCTGCCATCACTGAGGTCACCCCGCTGACGTGGGGTGTGGGCAGAGGCACCCAGCAAAATCCAGCCTCGGGTGCAGCCTGCACTGAAAGGTGTGTGTGATGTGTGAGAGCCCCTGAAGGATTCTGGAGTGTTCTGCCACATTTTCCCCTTCCAGCAGAACCTCCCTTCTCCTTTTGTTGGGGAATTGAAAGGTGCCCCAGGGGGGTCTGTGGTATCCTGGAGGTGGGGGTGGGAGGATGGGGCTGGCCAGGATGACAGGAGAAATTGTTCCCTGTGAGGGTGGGGAGACCCTGGCACAGGTTGCCCAGAAAATCTGTGGCTGCCCCATCCCTGGAAGTGTCCAAGGCCAGGTTGGACAGGGCTTGGAGCAACCTGGGCTAGTGGAAAGTGTCTCTGCCCATGGCAGGGGGTGGAACTGGGTGGTCTTTAAGGTCCCTTCCAACCCAAACCATTCTATGACTGCAGCCCTGTGTTTAGGCATTTGAGATGAGCATCTGTATTGGACTGGTTTACTCTATCCAGCTTAATCCCCCTGAGAGACTTTAATCTTTGGAGAAAGGGAAATTCCCTTCAACCACCCAAGTTTTTCACAGTATCAGAATCAGACTAATTTTTTTTTTTTAAAGAAACTACATTTCCAAGCGTTCCTTTGTTTGACTGGAATGGAAATTATCTCAGTGTAAGTGGAGGCATCCTGCTCTTCTTGGCTAACCTGTCACGTGGCTGCTTCCTAAAGCTGTGCAGGGTTTCTAAAATTAGTGTTCCCTGCCGGATACAGGATGATTAGGTCTGTTAATAGGTGATGGTGACTAAGGAGGTGTCACACTTTAATCCCCTAAAGAAATGCCTGGCCACAATGGGCCTGATCCAGAGGTGTGCCTGGGAACTGGCATTTCTGTGGTCCAGGAGGTTACTAGTGTGTCACACCTCTGGTTGCCTTTACCCCAGGTGCTGGGAGGGCTCTTCCCACTCCAGGAGGTCTGAAAGAGCCAGGAGGCAGCTGCCCAAATGTGAAAATCTGGGGCCACACAGGCAGAAGGGACGTTCTGGTGGCAGATGCTCAGGTGAACCCGCAGCTGGAGCGTTCTCCAATTGGCACCTCCAGCAAAGACTTGGCAAATGTCCCCTATTAAAAGGCTGTTCCAGTTGCTCAAAAGGTCATGCATTAAATTACTGTGTAACTGCAGCTTATTTCTAATTAAAAAAAAAAAAAAAAGGGCAAGATTCCCTGCTTTTCCCCCAGGCTGACTTGAGACAACTGATTTGGAATAGGAGAATGATAGACAGCTCACGCCACATGAATGTTAAATGATAAATGATTTCCCTCTTTCCCCTGGAGATTGATGCTTCCCCCCTCAGGCACCAGCTCCCAGCAGTGCTTCAGCTCCTCTCATTCATTCTGGGGCGTTGGAGTATTCACCAGAGCTGAGCAGAAATCACTGTTTCCACAGCAAACATGAGATATTCCTTCGCCTTCCTGCCAGCCCCAGATATTCAAAACCATTGACCCAAATGCTAAAGAAAAAGGGAAAAAAGGGGGGAAAAAAAAAAGAAAAGTGAAAAGAAGGGTATTTAAAATGGGTTGGTGGTTCAGAGTGGGGTCACAGGGCAGGTGCAGGGACAGGCACTCCACTCAGTGGGGTGAACCCTCTTGCCTTGGTTTGGGGATTTTTTTCTTAATTTTTTTTTCAGGTTGGTGACCTCTCTGGAATTTTGGATAACGTAAAAGTAAATTTAATGCTGTTTGAACGGCAGTTAAAAATTAAAAGGCTCAGCTGGGCCATTAAAGTGGAAGGAGGTTGTTTGCTGCAGTCAGGTGGGTTTGGAGGAGTTGGGGCTTCGAGGGAAAGGGCTGTGGGAGTGATGGCCATGAGTGTGGGATAACTGGTGGAGGGAGGAAGCTCTCTGTGCCAAAGGCTGCCCCTCTGGAGCCGTGGGCAAGCAGGACCCTGTCCCCTAAGGGGTTAAACCTGGGCTCAGCAGTGTCTGTGCCATTCCTTCCTTGAACTGGTTAATGTCTGACATTGGGTCAGCAGCCAAAAAACCACTGTGCAAATGCATTACTGCACCTGGGACAGGAGGTCATGGCCCCTGCTCCGGCTGGGATGTGTCCCTGCCCTCTCCAGGGGAGGATTTGTGGCAGCCTGGAGGTGGATCTGTGCCTTAATCACTGTAACTGGCCCTTGCAGTGTTCGTATTTAGGAACTGGCACAGGTTGCCCAGAGAAGCTGTGGCTGCCCCATCCCTGGAAGTGTCCAAGGTCAGGTTGGAAGGGGCTCGGAGCAACCTGGGCTAGTGGAAGGTGTCCCTGCCCGTGGCAGGGAGTTCAACAACATGTTCTTTAAGGTCCCTTCCAACCCAACCATGCTATGATTCTGTGATATTTAGTGACCTTAAATACTTTGACTTCTGTCTAATACAAAGACGTCTCTTCCCTCCTGGTGGTGAAAGGTGAAGGATCCAGTGCAGTGGTCAAGCTTTTGGTCCAGATGTTTTGCAGGTGACTCCTCCCAGGAGCAGAGCTGGGGAGTGGGTACCCCGTGGTTTGGTGGGGTTGGGGTGTTTTCCATGCTTTGTGTGTCAGTGTGCCAGGTCTGGGGAAAGGCAATGGGACACGAGGCAGGAATGTGGCTTGTGCTGCTGTGGAAACACAGGCTGGGGAGAGGGCAGGGGAGCAGAGTTTGCTCTGGATGAGGTGTTTTGGTGCCTTTCCCCCCTGAGCGGGGACCCTGAACGGGCTGTGCTGGTGCCCACCAGCATCTGTCTGCCCTCCAGCTGGAATCCAGTCCCTTCCTGGGGTTCCCCCACCACCCCTCAACCGCAGCCTGCAGGTCTGGGCGCCTCACCTTCTCCTTCTCTCCCTGCAGACTGCAGATACACGTGTCACCAGGAGTGCCGCAGCCTCATCCAGCTGGATTGCCGCCGGCCGGGGCCGTGCCAGGGCCAGCTGTCCCCAGAGAGCACCCTGCTGCCCCCCTGCAGCCAGGTACCACGGGGAGGGGCTCGGGGAGGGGGGGCACAGCCTCGTGGGGACCGATGGCATCTCCTCCAGAGACCTGGTGTCTTGCATCCAAAGGGTTTTCCAGGAGGGAGGGCTTGTCAGAGCTCAGCCCCAGGCGGTGTCACTGATGGACTCTAAACCCCATGCCCAGGTGTCCTGCCTGGGTGGGTGTGTGATCTGGTGGATTGGAGGTTGGCCTTGTGGGCATCTCCCTCCCTGTAGAGGTGAGTGTGTGCAACTTTGTTGTGTTTAAAATGCTCCCATTCAGGAGTGGACGTGAGAGGAGCTGTGCCATGCAGGAATGCTGGTCCACGTTCTGCAGCTTGGCCATGTCCCAGTGCTCTGAGGGGTCATCAGCCCCCTCATCACATGGTTCATGTCCCTGTGCCTGCCGGGGATCACCAACACTGGCATTAAATTGTCATTAAATTGAGCAAAGCGCTTGTAAATCAGCAGCAAAGGTGCATTTTTCCTGCGTCGCCGCAGAGCACAGGTGCAGATTTCACCAGGAGTCCTGGCTAATGGCCTTGTTTTAAGAGTTTCAGTAGCCCCAGGGGATTGAGACCCTTCAATCTGCGTTAGGCATGTGCAGTAATCCCGGGGTTACTCCGGAAGGTTTAGCTGTTGGCTTAATCCCCCCAGGGTCCCGCGGTGTCTGTGCCGCAGTGTCCTGCGAGCCAGCGTGGGTGGGACAGGCTGCAGGGTGCAGGGACTCCTGTCACACCACGTGGGATGTAAGAGACTTAATGCTGGAAGCTTAAGGCACCGCTTAGAAACCTGCCTGGAGTGGATTTGACTTGAAAATGGAACCTTTTCAGTCTCTGTGTGTTCTTTTCTAACAGTTCTTTTGAACAGCTCCCCGCGGAAGCGGTGGAGTTGCCATCCCTGGAAGTGTTCAAAAACTGAGTAGATGTGGCACTTCATTCTATGGTTTAGTGGGCATGAGGGTACTTGGCTGAAGGTTGGACTGGATGATCTTGGAAGTCTTTTGCAACCTTAATGGTTCTGTGATTCTGTGTTTTCACCTTCATTATAAGGCTGTGTTTATATCCCTCTTTGTGGAGGACTGTGCTTGTGCAGAACTGGAGATGGAAACATGCACTTTTCCAAAGGCAACACAGGGTTTCTGTTGAGTTTGTGGGGTTTGGTTGTCATCCATCCTTTGCTGTGCAAGGTCTGCTGAGCTTGGTCTGGCTGATGCGTGGCTGGGCAGGTGCTGCTCAGAATAAACTGTTCAGGAGGGATCTGAAGTGAGATGGGATTTATCTTCTAAGTTACGTGTTACAAAGGGGCTCAGAGTGGGTTCCCCACTGAGCCTTGAGGTGTTTGTATAAGGATGTGAAGCCAGATTTGTGGTGGATGTTGTTGGGCTTCCCCCAGCAGCATGAGAAAAGCCTGGCTCTCAGGAAAATGAGGAAGGCTCGTTTCATCTCGGGGGCGATAACACCAGCCGGGGTTATTGATGGGCCTAATAACAAACACAGAGCCCGTGCTCAGTGGCAATCCATCACTCTGACACGGCTCTGCTGGGATCCCAGGGAAGGGAGGGGGGAATTTTGTGCCCAGGAAACAAAAGTGTCTCTCCAGTTCCAGCAGCAAACAGAAATCCATAAACCCAACCCCAAGGTCCTGGCCGGGGATTGTACCTCGAAACCTTTCGTGCTGCAAAGTGCTGGATGGAGCCTTGTTGCCTGTGCTGGGGGAAGCTGGAGGTGTGGGGGCTGGTTTGAGGGTTAATGAGGGTTAAATCACCGCAATAAGGCTCTGTTCTCTTTTATGGATACTGGATAATCAGGGGAAAATCATGTTTACTTGATCTGAGCCCGTAGAGCTGAGCACACAGCCACATTCCTGGAGTGTTTCTGTTGGCCAGGCAGGTTTTGCTGCTGGAAAGGAGGAGGATGGAGGGAAAGCACTGACAGTGTTCCAGTAGGAGACTAACAGGATGCCTGAATATGCTGGCAGGAGGGGAAGGGGATTGCACTCTGGAAAGACAGGAAAAATTAATAGCTGGCAGAGTTGGAAGTCATTAAATAGTATTATCAAAATTAAGCAAGCTGGAAGCATCGGAGAAATAACTACTTTATTATCACATATTTAATGCTGTTACCTTGTAATACCAGGCATTAATAATTTGGGCTTTGATCCAGTAAAGTACTTAAGAGTGTGTTACATTTGGGTCCCAGATCAGCCTGCCCAGCTGAAATCCAGATTCAGCTGGTGTTGGCAGCACCAGGAGTTTGGTCCCTGGTCATGTACTTCCCACCTGAGAACTGGTGCAGGTCACCAGTGGGTGGGTTTTGGGGGGGGCTGATGTGCAGGTAACCATTAAGTAGAGCTTCTGCTGGACCAACAGGCCAAAATTACTTGGGTTTATTTGGCTTGGTTGTTTTGGTTTGTTTTGTTTTTTTTTATGGAGCTGATCTCCCTCATAGGTGCACTGCAATGGAAAAGTGAGGGTTTCTTGGAGAATCCCATGGAGCAATGCAGAGGGAGAGCACCCAGCTTCACATGGGGCTGCCCCCTGGCTCCCCTGTGACACTCCTGGGGCTGAGACTTCATAGGAGACACCAGTGCTGATCATCAGCCCAACACTCACTTTCTGCTAGTGTTGCACATGCTCAATTTAAGCCTCTTTCTCCTCTAAATATATCCCCGTGGAGCAGGGGGGGTTGTGCTGCTGCAGGAGGACTCTGCTGCTGAAAGCATGGCTTATTTATTCCACACTGTTACCAGTTGCTTTGTAAATAAGCCACTTGGATTCTTGCCTCCCTCTTTTTGAGATGCAGATGTTGCCTCCTCCCTCCAGTCTTTTGCCATGTACATCTCAGTTTGTATTCCTGGGATGCTGCTGGCAGAGGGGCATGGAGCTTATCAAAGGCTTGGAGTGATTTAAGTCCTTCAACCAACAGATACAGATTTGGAGCACCATCTGCAGCCTATCAAGAGGGGAGGAGGTTTTTGTGCTGGGTGGTGGCTGTGAAGGCCTTGGATGGAGCCCTTTTGGACCAATTGGAGGAGCAAGTTTAGCTCAGGTACCGGGAAGGAATTCTTCCCAGTGAAGGTGGTGAAGCAATGACACGGATTGCCAGGAAAAGTTGTGGATTCCTTATCCCTGGAAGTGTTCAAGGCCAGGGCTCAGAGCAGCCTGGGCTAGTGGGAGGTGTCCCTGCCCATGGCAGGGGGTGGAATGAGATGAACTTTAAGGTCCCTTCCAAAGCAAACCCTTCTGTGCTCTCAGGCCTCGTTCCCTCCTCTGTTTCTGAAGTGTGGTGAAGAATTCTCAGCACGTACATTAATACTGCATTGCCTAAGCAGGGTCTTTCATAACACAGCATGTCAGGCTTTTCTTCAGTCCCCTCTACTTGCTCACAAACATGTGTTTTCAGGTGGCTGTGGATGTGCTGGGATGTGCTCCCCGTGGATGCACAGCCCCTCATGGGATCCCCCACCGAGGGAGGAGGAAAAGCCTGTGGGGAGCAGAGCTCTTCCCCTGCCTGGCTCCAGAAATACCTGTGATCTTCACCAAGCAGGAAGGTCACAGCTGCTTTAAAAGCTGCTGGGTAAATCACAGGGTATTGATGGGATGGTTGGCAGCTCTGGAGGGGATGGAGCAGGCAGTGCTGGGGTGGGTCAGTGCTGAGCTGGGTCCCTGCAGGGCTGGGGGGGCAGAGGGGACCAGGGATGATGCTGTTGTTCTGAGCCTCTTTCCAAGGCCAGCACAGCATTTTCATGAGCCTGGAGCTTCTTGCAAACAGGACCCAGGAGCTAAAAGGCTTTTTCCTGGGCTGCAGTTGAAGCTGCCTTATCTGGGTGCCAGTGCTGCTGAAACTGCTCCTGCTGCTCTAAAATTATCTGCAGAGCAGAGGGGCACCCAGTGCCTCCTGCAGTGTGATGGCCAGGGGTCTCTGGGACCCCGAGGAGGGTCTCAGGCTGCACCTTCACCAGCCCCCCCCTGCTTTCCCTACCACCTTTTGGTCCAGCCTAGCCTTGATTCCCAAAACCAGGCGATGCCCCGGCAGCTGACAGGGACGGGGCAGCATCCAGCCCTCCCCGGCGATGTGTTTGGGGTCACCAAGGTGGTGCCGGGGGTCCCCGGAGAGGGGGGGCCGGGCATTGCCCAGCACCTCGGCTGCGAGCGGGGGGGTGAGAAATTCTGCAAGAGGAAGTGGCCGGGGCCGCGCCGAGCGAGGCGAGGGCAGGAAGGGGAGGCGAAGGCGAGGGCGATGCTGCGCGGGCACCCCCGGGACCGGCCGGGCTGGGCTCCGGCAGCGGGAGCGAACCTGCGGCTCTGCCCCTTCCACGCTGCGCAGGGAGGCGGGTGGAGGAGGAGAGGGAAGGGAGGGAAGGGAAGGGTTACCGGCACGCTGCCTGTTAAAGAGGAGTAGCCTGGGGCTCCGGAGGATAAGCAGAAGGAGCTGCTGCCCGCAGATGAGCGCCGGCGAGCCGATGTGAGCGCGGGCTCGCACGGGGGATGGTGGCCCCCCCCAGAGCCCCCGGCGGACGCCCGCGCCCTCAGCCTTCGTCTCTGCTGGGCTTCGATGACCCTCGGCAGCAGCATGAGCAGCGGGTACTGCAGTTTGGATGAAGACCTCGAGGATTGCTTTTTCACGGCAAAAACCTCTTTTTTCCGCAGCGCGCAGAGCAAGGTCCCTGCCAAGGTAACGGCTCCGAACTAGTGAGGAGGGATGTGCTGGGAAAGAGGGGGGCACCGGAGGAGGGGGATGTCGGGTGTTCCCGCACGTTTGGCTGCGGGTGCTGCCAAAATGAGCTCGTGCAGGAGTCAGGGCAGAGCTGCCGGAGGGCTCTTCCCTCTCCTGTGCAGGGGGGTCTGCGCTGCTGCAGGTTTTCCTCAGCCATCTCAACCTTTACACGCCGGGTTTCCCCCTTCCCCGGGGGGGATTCACGCTGGAGGAGCCGACTCTAAACGCGATTTTTTATTTTTTTTTTCGGCGTTAGGTGAAATCCTGTAGCAACCCTGCCAG